AGCTATTTTATTATAAAAAAAAGAGCAAAATATATAGTGCTCTTATAAGTTGGGCCAAACTATGCCATGCATTTAGAGAGAAATTTGCATAGAGTGTGCACTTAATCAATCTGATTATAACTAATAACCAATTACTAAGATTAATATATATCAAAGTGTATTTACTCAGAAATACAATCTATCGTAGCAGTAAATGTCTTTATACTAGTGTATAATTATTTTTTACAAAGCAAAACTGAACATGTTAAAAATGCAATCCCAATATTTTAGAATAATCTTTAAACCAATTTATGCCATAAACTTAATTATAACTTTATATATAATTATTAAATTATCTTTTATTTATTTATTCATTTTAAAATTTCAATAATAACATATTTATTTATTAAAATAAAAAAAATTTTTTTTGAGATACTTAGTTTCAGAGATTAACTCTCCTACTTATCCCAACCACTGTGTAGAGGTTTATCTTATCGGTTAGGAAGGTTTCCTCCAACCAAATCTCTTCCGCATTCCCACCAGGAGTAGGTTGTTCTACTTGAATCAATAATGATCCAATAAGCTTTAGCTCATAATCTCTAGAGCTCAGATATTAATTATTTTATACAATACTATACAATACAATATTATACTATATTTATTTACTTTCTCCTTCCTTCCACCAAAACCACTAACCCATAAGCTTTTTTACTCTTAAGAAAGGTATAAAACCAGCCTCTTATACAGGACCAGAGGTCTTAAGTAATAAAAATGCAAAAATCTATACCTGATTAGACAGTTTTTTGCTAATTAATAACTCACCAAAAATAATCTAAATCTACCAACAACAACCTAAACCCACCAAAAACAATAACAAAACCCACCAACAACAACTTAAACCCACCAATGCCCAACAACAACAACAATTTAAATCTACTAAAAATAATAATCCAAACCCACTAATACCCAATAACAACAACCTAAACCTACTAAAAACAATAACCCAAACTCACCAAAACCCAACAACAACCTAAACCCACTAAAAATGATAACCCAAACCCACCAATACCCAACAACAACCACTTAAACCCACTAAAAATGATAATTTAAACACATAAAAAGCAGCCTAAACATGTTAAAAACAACTTAACACCACCAAAAACAACTTAAAAATGATCTAACCTGTCAAAATAAACCCTCTACTAAAACGATCTAAACTAGAGATTGGAACCAGTTTTAAATATTCGAGTTTATCACATCAATATTCGAGTTGATCACACCAAAATTTAAGTTTATCACATCAATTATTAATAATAATTTATGTGATAAACTCGAATTTTGGTGTGATAAACTCAAATTTTGATGTGATAAACTCGAATATTTAAAACCGGTTCCAACCTCTAGTCTAAACTCCCAACAACAAGGTAAAGCAAACTGTAATAAAATAGAGCTATAATGAAAACTGTGTAATAAAAACAAAAGTTGTAAAGTAACTGAAATAAAAAACACAACTTATATCTAACATGTGACACAAATGGCATGTGACTTTTGGGCTCAGGTCCCAAGTCTGCTTGGGACAGAGTACAAGCTAAAGACTCGGACTTTTCCATCCCTACCTCAGTAACTAGGGTTGTAATAACTTACCTGATAATGTAACTTACATCGTAAGTTAAGTTACATGACCTGATGTAAGTTAAAAAATATATCATAGTAAAGCAGGCCGGCTTTGTATTAAGCCGACTAGAATAAATTTAGCCAGCATTAAAGTTATTAAAGGATGAAATTTTTATTGTTATTATACATAACTAGCTAGTGGTTTTTTTTCTAGTACCCACGGGAACTGAAAGTTATTTATTAAGTTAATGTAAATCTAAATATAAATTTTACATATATTAAAGCCCTTACCGGGTCAGGTTGATCCGTACAAGTCAGCTTCTTGGGTCACGGGTCATGGATAACATGGATAACATGGATAAAATTCAGTGATCCAGTATTTCTGATGTAGAAAATAGATGAACTCACAAGGTTGAGAATAGTGATCCAAATCGATTAAATTTTTACGGCTAGGCTAAACCATTATGGCTTAGCGGCTTAGCCAATAATTTATGTTATACTGAATCATAGGATGTCTATATAGTACTTCATTCAAATTAAGTATAGCTTTTTAGATTCGGGTTTACTTTAAATATTCCGACTGTTTTTATACTACAGAATTTTAAATACAAATTAAATCCTTGGGAAATAATTATTTAATCGAATAAAGATTTGTTACCAAATCTTATATATGTTATATATACGTTAAATTGAAATTTGTGTCAGATCTAAGATTTTAAAACAGAGTTTAATTAGGGTTAGGGTAAAACCCTATGTTGGGTAGTTTAGTAGTGGCATTATAATTATTTTGACCTGATGCAAATTTTTTAATTCGACATACGTATAATGTTAACAGAGACTTAAGTTTGGTAATAGGTTTTTTTTTTTATACTATATAAATTCTTTATATACAACTGAATTTATTAGCCGGCTGATTGGACTATCAGCGGTTAAAGTTACCCGGTTTAAATATTTGTTACATATTAATATAACAGGTGTAATATAAAATTGTAAAGTTCTATAAGCTCTACTCTTTAAACCCTTTGGAATAATTTATATAACTACAGTATTCATATCGGCGAATTTGTAGAATTTGATAAATAGAAAAACCCATGAGCCGTAACTCTGGTCAAATAATTTCAAACCAGGCCCAATGATCTGCAAATTTGACCAGAGCTACGGCTTATAATTTGAATTTACGTTTAAATTATTTTAAAATTTAAAATTTGATTTGATTTTGTGATGTAATATTCTTATTAATTTGAAGACATTACCCTGAGGTGTGAGTAACTTTTTTTTAACCATGGTGTAATTGGTCCAACATAAAATTTCACATTGATGTTTCTCATTTTCTAACCTCAGGATTTGAAAATGTACACTATCATTAAAATTTATATAATATAATCAAAATTATAATTAATCCCAAACTAGACATCCTAAATTATATATTATGAAGAATGTTGAAAGCTATATATCTATACTTCTAAAGAACATTAAAATAATAAATGTCCAATGATGAATTATGTGTAGTCAATAACGTTCAAAATTAACAAAAAAATGTAAAAGTAGTATTCCAAATAGATAAATGAGCACCAGGAGTATACCACCTAGCACCGGCAAGACACTCTGGATCCTCAACTGGATCCTCAGAACCCTCTACGATATCATCACAAAAAAAAGATTGATCTTTATTTTTTACCCATAATTCATGTGCATGATGTACAAATCCCCTTTTCGATGGAGGTAAATGTACTACCAAATCATTCCGATGAGTTATTCTTGTTACTTTATGCTTTAAAGGTGATGTTTGAGAAATTAGCTGTGTTTGTATTATTTTTGCATAGATGTGGTTACCAATTCTAGGTTGACCTATGGTTGTCAGATGAATTTTAAAAGGAAGGAGGCAATGCGTTGGTGAGGAAAGAATTGGATCAAGGATGTAACGTTTTACATCTATGGCTAAAAATGAAGACAGGGCACCTCCCTTTTTTCAAATACACAAAAATTGAAATATGTCAATAAAAGAATAAAAGATGAATATTAATTTTAACAGTTGACCAACCAAAGAATGCCCAGTTATAACAAGATCATATCCACGACATGAATTTTCTTCCCTTGTCATCAACCATTGAATCGTCCATAATATAGTGCCCTTTACGCGTTCATAAGCATGATAAAATCCACCATGTACCAAAGCACCTAAGTTTAATAAATATATAAATTTTTCATGATTACATCTTTCTAACAGGATAAAATACACAGTAATGGTGATTGATATATTAGGAGATTATTGAAAGACTATTTCAAACCTTCGATTCCAGGGAATTCATAGTCAAGTTGTGCAAATTGTAAATTATATATCCAATTTACAACATCCGCACTCCTAAGTAATAAATAAGAATTTTTTTTTTTTAAAAAAAAAAAGGAACGACTAGGTTTCTTTCATTTTAATACTTAATATCCTTGCATACCCTCTAAAAGCAACAATGATAGTTTTATTCTCTTCACTAACTGCGATGTACCCATAAGCACCTTTAATCTCATCATGGAATATTTTTTCAATAGTAACATTGCCAAAACATCGATAACCACAAGTCCAACTACTTAAGTTTTGCTTTGAACAGTATGCAGCAGCAGCATAATTTGTATGAATTTGCAGAAGGTTTAATGCATCTGGAGAAACCAATTCTTTACCTTTTTTTGGAAAAGTAGAAATTGAGAAAGGCAAAGTATCAAAAGGTTTATAAAAATAAAGACATATCGATGTTAGTATTAGTAACGCAAACCATATAACGCGTGCCATTATCTCTCTTAGTTCTGTAGTTACGCGGAAAGAGCCGATAAATCGACAATTATATCGTCATTATCATGTGATATAAAGGGATTGACAATCTTCCCCAGCATCGCCACCAATTTTTTTTCGATCACGTGATACCGGGCAAAATTTTTTAAGTTCGTTAATGTTAGGGTTAGGGCCTACGACAAGGTTAGGGTTATGAGGTTTTATAGTAAAATTGTTCAAGGAATTTTTTTTGTTAGAGCACGAAAGGTTGTTTCTTATGTAAATTTTCAAGCTATTGACGATTTTTGAAAAAGCGAACGTTTGTTTTGATCTTTCTGATTGTGCTACGTTACACCAAGGTGTGATCCACTATTGGATAATTTTCATGTGATCGAAAAATTTTGTTAGTAATTTGGTGGCGATGCTGGGGAAGTTGGATGGACATCCGTAAAGGTAATAATGGTATGTTTAATTCTTTATTTATGAACATTTTTAACATATAACAATAATCTTATAAATTTTTATCAATCTAATAAAATTTTTCTTGCTAGTTTCGCTTCTATATCCACCAATTGCCCACAAATTCTCAAACATAAAGGAAACAAGCATAATATAAAAGAAACACCCAAAGCTAATAATGTTACTGTTAATGTAAACGTTACAATAGACATTACAAATTTTGTAAAGGTAAAGTAAACGACGGTTCTAACGGTAAATGTATCCTTCAAAAGTAAAAAAAGATTTTCAAACCTTCCTGTTTGATTAAGACGAACAGGAATTTGGTAATTAGTACTGCTTAATGAAGAATACAAATAGATGGGTGTCACTTTTGTTATAGAAGGAAGTGATTTACGTTTGATCGTCGCTGAATTATCTGATGAAATGGAATTTAATATCGCTATTTCAAAGCGACCGAGCATCCTATGAACAGTGATATTATATTTTATATATATATTATAAATCATATGATCTGCACGATCTGATCTAACGTATAACATACCTCCATGAATAAACTGAAAAGAGTAACAGAACATAACCTACAGGAGGAAATATCAAAGATGCAACACTACCGACAAAGGTTCCAATAACCCATCCAAAACAAAAACATGAATAGGGAAGATTCCATAAGATCAAATATATCAATGCTGCCCAATTTTTTGAATCTTGTAAAGGAGCAAAAAATAATTTTATTCCACGAGGCTGTTTGCGAATTATTCTTGGAGTAAAAGTGTATCGACATTCAGAAACTTCTCTGTTTAAAATATTAGAGTATGATGATGAACTACCAAAAGGTCCTACTTGACTTCTAATAACATCGTCATAAGAAGGTGGTGAACTAAGCGGTATTGTGGGAAATTTTGTATTTTGCGATGAAATCGATTTCTTTTGAATTGCATTATTTGTTTGAGTCATAATAAAAAGTTTTTCTGATGCTAAAAAATTTTAATACACATACTAGATGATTGATCAATTTTATACTGAGTCTCTAAACTTTGAAAGCGCACGCCACAAACAAATAGTATTCATCCCTCCTTAGTATTAAGGGTTGGGATAGCTGATTAATCGATACCTACAGATATATGGCTATGTAAATTACCAGAAAAAGGGATTCTTAGAAAAACCTATACGTAGATTGGTCGATTTCAAAAAAACTTTTTACAAATGTTACACTAAAATTAAATAGCGATAGTGTCCATAAAATTCTAGCACTAACACTAACGCTAACAGCTGAGTACAGCTTCCATGTCAAATTTTGACTAATATTACCAACCTATTATTTAAAAATTAGCTGATTTAATTAATATTAAACCTTTAAATTGATATCTTTTTTTAAACAATTTATTGTTTGAATTTTATGGCTTGTAAAAATTAAACAAAAATTTTTGCTTAGGTTGGTGCTTTGAATAGAACTAGATTATCTTAAATAATTACTTTAGACTAAATAAAATTATATTGGTCAGAGTATCAGTATGGTGTGAATGGTCAGAATTGTATGGTATAGGAGTGTAAAATACCTTTATTCCACGTTTATATATGATCGCATGACAACTTATAAGCACCACTTTACAGCTGCTCTTATAAATTCTGGAACAGCTGAAAATTTTCTGATGACAGAATCGACAAAGTTATAGAGTCGGAATCAATAAGAAACCGACATCGGTCGAACTCAGAAACTTATCGATTCGGTCATCAGCAATCTTTTTTCAGTTGTCCAGAATTTATGAAAACAGCTGTAATTACTAAAAAAACCGAGTTTCTAGCAATGCTTGTTGTTTCCCCGGGAAATAAAAGCATTGCTAGAACCTCGTTATTGTTAACAATTATAGCACGCGAGAAAATTAGGGAATATTGGAAATTGTAGTGTTTTGAGAATATATTAAAGATAAGCATATAAAGAAGGTACGTAAACAAAGAAAAGACTCTTTGCGTGAATTTGAAATACACGTTACTCGATAATTTTTTCTCATTAATAAAAATTCAAAATGTCGATACAGTGTCTGCCCTCGAAATAATCACCAGGTTGGGAAACAACTAAATAAGGTCAAAATTCATATGTTTTATAATAGCTATATAGACCAAAAAAATAGTGTGATTATAACAAGGTTGTGACTACCGTATTTTCGCGAAATAACAGGCCGGGGCGTTATTTAGAGTAATGGCCCGAATTAAGCTTAATTTAGGCCAAAAGTTGAAATTACACCCCGGCGCGTTATTTCGCGAAAATACGGTATATTGAGAGTGACTATAACGAGGTCAGACTGTAGGGATGTTATATGGTCCGGTCTTAGACTAATAGACCACAGTTAGTCTTAAGACCGGTCTGGACCTAAAAAAAATTGGTCTGCTCTAAGTCTTAAGACTGGATTGGTTTGGACCGGTCTAGACTAGTAAAGTCTTAAGACAGAAGACCATAATAGACCAGAATAGACTTGGACCAAAATTGACCAGACCGAACCAGACTGGACTGTTAACATCCCTATCAGACTGTATATAGAAATATTTTATTATTATGTCATTATGGAGTGACATGTATTTCATATTCAGACACTGTATTTGTAGAATCATCCAGGGCGACCATAAAAAGTGCAGTAACGTGACCTGTAGCGCAGCCAAACCAAAACTTATATACAACCACAGCATATTCACAAGAAAAAAATATTCGCGATATTTCTTTTTTTTCGGTGCAAAAATTGAAAACTTAATTTCCGGTCAAATTAGAAATTTGAAAATCATCGGCCTAAGTTAGATTAATGCAAGCCGAATGTCATGATCACGTTACTGCACTTTTTATCTGTAAGAGGTGCACTTACTGTAACAATTAGCATTGTTTTTTATTTAGTGATAAAGGAAAACTTTATAACAAAGTTAGGGTGCCCGAATAGGGAACTTTGAATGGTTACAAGTTGTCATACCCGGTAATTAGGCCGAAGCAGGGACGGTGATTTTCTGTGATTCACAATTCTAAAATATTGCGGTACTTGACCAAAAATCCGCGTCGGCGCTGGAAATTCCGGAAAGGTAGACAATAAATCAACATAGATTACGAGCATGTTTGTCGGGGTTACGAAATTGCTGAATTATATGTTTAAAAAAAAATTAGATAAACGCATCAAAACACAGATAACTGCACAGAAATTATAAAAAATCACCGTCCCTGGACCGAAGTCCTTTTCTTCTAAGTTATCACCATCTTTTGGTTCTAATGATTCTTTAAAAAACATGTTGCTCATTCATCACTAAGAGTGGACCAGAAAGTAATAGAAAAAGACAATGATAATTTAACATCCTAGATCTGACCATCTGAATTGATTTCTCAGGTAGTCGGATCAGAAATTTTTATTCGATAACGGACCTAAGGATACGCCCAAAAACTAGCTTTATATATATTTAATGCGGATTCAATCCGGATTTGATAGAAATAGAATCCTGATGGTCTGTCAAAAATATTTAGGTTCGAAACACTAATATCTCCTATGACAAATGAGAAAATTCCAAATTATTTATTTTTGGGGGAGTTTACAAATAAGGGCCCGGAAAGTGAAAATAATTACAAATACGGGCCCAAATTAAAAATAATTAAATATAAGGCTATACAAACTTAATAAATTGGTTCTCATAACCCGGCCGGGTCAAATTTTGCAAAATTTTGAAAATTTTTTTGCCTATATTTATTACCTGGGTGGACTTTTATAGATGTCTATAAAAAAATTTTATATGTTTTTTGTATATAAAATTTTTTGAAAATAAAATTAAAAACCGGGTCATTTTTAGAATTTTATGTTGGGGCCTAATTTTAAAAAAATATTCCAAAATAACCGCGACGCTATTCACGCCTGTGGCTTGATTTTATTAGTATAAGAAACATAAAAATGTAAATTAGTAATCATAAATTTTTTTTTAAATTTAATAAATTTCATTTTCTTTGTATGAAATTTCTTATTGTTATAATAAACCAAGTAAACATTGCGAATTGGCAGGACATTTACTAATATGGAAGATGCCCGTTCAGCTTTAGAAAGCTACTCTGTTGGAATCTTGCCTTATGAATATTAACACTATTTTTATGCAATATTTAAGCGAAAATGATTCTTAATTTATCCTTTTATCTAATAATCAGTATATAGATAACTCTAAATGTTTATAATGATCGCGATTTTGCTATCGTTATAAGCCCGTGATCACATTTTTTTCAGATTTGGGCCCTTATATGTAATATTTTTTAAAAATTGGGCTTTTATATGTAATTATTTTTAATTTGGGCCCCTAAAAATTATTTCGATTTATAACAAAAATTTCGATTGATTTATGCAAAATTTCGAGCCTTTTATAAACAATTTCAATTTATTTCGACCAATTAAACAAGAATTTCATTTCAACTCTATTTAAAATATAAAATATTGAGCATTCGAAGAGAATTTTCGCTTAAATTTTTTCTGTCTCATTTAAAATGTTGTTATAAACGAAAAAGCTACGTTCTCACTCGTCCAATAACATTTTTTCATGTGATTTTATGATTTTGCCGAAAAATTGGATTTAGTTAAATTTCGAAAAATTTTGATCAAATTTGGCCAAATTTCAAAAAATTTCAAAATATTTATTTCGAAAATTTTACGTGTCCCTGATTCATGATGGCATAACGATAGGTTTGTATTTATGATAATTTAAGCCAATAGCAATTTATATTTTTTCATATTATTTTTAATAATCAAAATCAACTCAAAAATTATCAGTCTTTAACAATTCCGATGTATAGAAAGCTTTGGATTTTTTCATAATTTTTTGTTAAACTGATTTTGTAATTTAATTGAAAGACGGAAAGTGGTGTAATATACTTTGTCCAATCAGAGATGGCAGCACCGAAATCCCCACGAATTTCCATAAACGATAACATCGAAGTTACGAAAGCCCGAGTCTCCAAGACAACAACGAAAGTACACCAGCGAAGGCACCAAGAAATAACGACTCCGACGACGACGGCTCCAATAACGTGACTCCAACGAATGATAACACCAGTCAAACAGACACAAAACCAACGACTACAGTAAAAACAGCTTTAAAAAAAGAATTCATTAGTAAAAAAAAAAAAAACAATGATTATAACCAATTTGTACAGTAAAAAAAACTAATCTGTGCTGATTCCTGTAACCTGTGATATCGCAACCTGCTACAAATAAAAAAATTTCACCAAAAAAAACCCCCCACTTTATATATAGCCTTAATAATAAA